GCTATATCATACAAAGAATATGAAAAGATCACCAACAGAGAAACAACAAAGGATATTCTTGATTCTTTAAGAATGACACACGAAGGCAACACTCAAGTTAAGGAATCTAAGGCTCTGGCCTTAATCCAGAAATATGAGGCTTTCGGAATGGAAGATGAAGAAACAGTTGAGATCATGTTCTCAAGGTTTCAAACCTTAGAAGCAGGACTCAAGGTTCTAGACAAAGGTTACTCTGAAACTGATCATGTTAAAAAGATCATTAGAAGCATTCCCAAAAGATGGAGACCTATGGTTACTGCTTTAAAGCTTTCTAAGGATCTGAACAATATAACTCTCGAAGAGTTAGTTAGTTCTATTAGAAGTCATGAGATATAGATAGAATAAGATGAGCCCCATAAAAGAAGAAAATTTGTCGCTCTAAGATATAGAGCAGAAAGAACCAAGTCATAAAAGAATAAAGCCCTCCAAGCTGAAGAAGTTAGAGATTCTGATAATCAATCTTCTGACGATGAAGATGAATTATCACTTTTTCCAGAAGAGTCAAGCAACTCTGGAAGAAAAGACAAAATAACTTAAAAGGATCCAAAAATAGGGAAGATCGTCTAGAAACATCTTCAAGAGAAAGCTCTAGTAAAGAAGTAACTTTCTTCGAATGCAATGAGCTTGGACATTACATAAATGAATATCCTACTCTCAAAAGAGAAAGCACCAGAAAAGAAAGTTTCAAGAACAATGGTTTCAAAGGCAAGAAGAAAGGTCTTGTAGAAACATGTGATGATTATGACTCTGAAGGATCGGAATCTGATGAAGAGCATGCCAATGTAGTATTTAAGGCTACCACGTCAGGAGGAAACACATCAAAAAAAAGTCTGACTTTGAAGAGGTATTTTTTGAACTTTCTCCTACTAAATTAGAATCATGTATATCAAAATCTCTGAAGAGGTATCAGAAACATCAACAAAAATTCAAGAACCTACAAAAGGTTCATGAATATGAAATTGAAGAACATGGTAACCTAGAGAAAGAAATTTCTGAACATAAAGAAGATAATTTAATTTTAGAAAAGGAAAATGTGTTTTTAAACAAAAAAAAATGTTCAAAACTTGAAGAAATCCTTTCTAAAGCTCCTCCATCTTCTGAAACTGTCTTATATAAACATGATAAGGCATTTCAGATATTCTTAAACGATAACATAGATAGAAGCATGATGGCTTCTATGCTCTATGGTGTCGGTCATAATGGAAAGAGAGGAATTGGTTATGTTTATGATAAAGCCAATTAAAACTCATCTAAATAAAACCAACATTTATCTCATTTTTCTTATCTCTACCCTCCTACAGAAACATAACAATACAATAATGCACAAAAACCCAAGTTTGTTTGAAACTTGAGGAAAACTAATTCTAAAGGACCCAAAAGATTATGGGTACCAAAAGATAAGATTGTACATGTTGCAAATGTCATATGCAGCTGAGTCGAAACACCAGTCATGGTATCTGGACTCTGGATGCTCACGTCACATGACGGGAAGGAAGCATATGTTCCAAAACCTGGAACTTAAAGATGTTGGGTACGTTGGTTTCGGAGGAAACCAGAAAGGAAGAATAAAAGGATCAAGAACAGTTGGTAACATATCTCCTCCTTCTATTTCTAATGTACTTTTGTTAAGGGTATAATGCATAATTTGTTATCTACAAGTCAATTAAGTGATAATGGTTATGACATTATATTTTATCAAAAATCATGCAAGGATGTAAGTCAGAAAGATGGCACAGTTCTCTTCACTGGAAAGAGGAAGAACAAAATTTATAAAATAAGAAATTATGATCTTAAAAATCAAGTTGTAAAATGCTTAATGTCTATAAATGAAGAGCAGTGGGTGTGGGATAGACGATTGGGTCATATTAGCATGAGAAGGATATATAAGCTAAATAGACTTGAGTTGGTCAGAGGCCTACCTAAGTTGAAGTTATCTTCAGGTTCTCTTTGTGAAGCATGTCATAGAGGAAAGTTTTCTAAAACTTCTTTTAAAGCGAAAAAATGTTGTTTCTACCTCCAGACCTTTGGAGCGTCTATACATTGACTTGTTTGGTCTAGTGAAAACTGCATCAATCAACGATAAGAAGTATGTACTTGTCATCATAGATTATTATAGTTGTTGGACATGGGTAAAACTTATAAAGCACAAGGATGAGTTACATTCTATGTTCACTAGTTTTTGTTCCAAAGTGCAAATTGAATTTGATTATGTGATTGTTAAAGTCAGAAGTGATCATCGTGGTGAGTTTGAAAATAAATAGTTTGAGGAGTTATTTGATTCAAATTGTATATCTCATGATTTCTGCTATCCTAGAACTCCAAAGAAAAATGGAGCTGTAGAAAGGAAGAATAAGACATTGTAAGAAATGGCCAGAACCATGATCGACGAAACTAACGTGGCTAAGCACTTTTGGGCAGAAGCTGTGAATACAACATGTTACATTCAGAATAGAATCTTCATAAGACCTATTATGGAGAAGACTCCTTATGAGCTGTGTAAGGGAAGAAAACCCAACCTTTCTTATTTTCATCCTTCTGGATGTTCTTCTTTTATTCTTGATACTAAAGGAAATATGAACAAGTTTGATTCTAAAGCTCATAAAGGTATTATGTTGGGATACTCAGAATGCTCCAAGGGCTACAGAGTATACAATACAGAAAGACATATTGTGGAAGAATCAATCAATGTTCAATTTGATGATAAGCGTAACTCATAAAAGTCAAATCTATTTGAGAACTTTGTAGATCTAGAAATAACACTTATAGGTTATGGAGATAAAGATAAAGACTCCAACAAAAAGGACGCAGAAAATGACACATCAGAAGCACCTGAATGTCCATCAGTTCAGAAGAGAAAAAAGCATAGACAAGCCATATCTGAAGAATTGATTCTGGGAGATAAAGTTGAACCTGTCAGAACAAGATCCACTTTTAAACAATATAAAGAAACACTTATGGGATTGGAATCTCTGATAGAACTGACCTCTTGTGAAGAAGAACTTCAGGATAATGAATGGATTCTGGAAATGCAAGAAGAGCTAAACCAGTTCTCTAGAAATGATGTTTGGGATCTAGTGCCTAAACCTAAAGGAACTCGTGTTATTGGAACTAAGTGAGTTTACAGAAAAAAGTTGAATGAGAAAGGAGAAGTCATCATAAACAAGGTACGACGGGTTGCACAAGGTTATAGTCAACAAGAAGATATTGACTACAATGAAACCATTTTTCTAATCATCATGTTAGAATCTATTCCCCTTCTAATCTCATTTGTTGTTAATAATAATATTATTTTATATCAAAGGATGTCAAAAGTGCGTTTCTGAATGGATACATTTCCGAGGAAGTATATGTACGCTACCCTCCAGGCTTTGAAAATACAAAGTTTACAGAACATGTTTTTAAACTTAAAAAGTCTTTATATGGTCTGAAACAAGATCCCAGAGCATGGTATGATAGACTAAGTTATTTTCTTTTAGAAAATGGTTTTTCTACAGGCAAGGTGGACACTACTCGTTTCTGTAAAAACTTTGGAAACAGTCTTATGATATGACCGATCTATGTTGATGACATTATTTTTGATTCTACTAATCCGTCTATTTGTCAAGAGTTTTCCAAGTTAATACAGGCAGGATTTTAAATGAGTCTACTGCAAGAGTTGAAATACTTTCTAGGAATACAAATCAATCAAACTCCATAAGCTATATATATTTATCAAAGCAAATATACAAAAGAACTTTTGAAGAAATTTAACATGTTAAATAGCAAACCAGCTAAGACTCTTATGTATCCTACATGTATTCTGGAAAAAGAAGAGGTAAGCATAAAGGTTTATCAAAAGCTCTATTTTGGTATGATAGGCTCTCTTCTTTATCTGACTGCTTCTCGTCTAGATATTTTATCTAGTGTGTGTCTATGTCCTCGCTTTCAATTAGATATAAGGGAAACTCACTTAGCGGCTATTAAGAGAATCCTAAGGTATCTAAAGGAAACATCTAACCTTAGCTTGATGTATAATAAAACATCATAATACAAGCTATCAGGTTTTTGTGATGCAAATTATGCAGGAGATAGAATAGAATGTAAAATCACTTCTAGAAACAGTCAGTTTCTGGGTAGTAACCTCATCTCTTGGTCGAGAAAAAGGCAATCAACGATTGCGATATCCACTGCTGAAGAAGAATACATCTCAACATCACTTTGCAGCACTCATATGCTATGGATTAAAAGTCAAATTGAAGAATTTCATATATACGAGAGTAACATCCCTATGTTTTGTGATAATACTGTTGTTATATGCCTAAGTAAGAATCCTACTCTGCACTCTAGATAAAAAACATAGAAATCAAATACCATTTATTAGAGACTATATTCAGAAAGGGGATCTTGTTTTAAAATTCATAGATATAAACCAATAATGGGTTGATGTCTTCACAAAACTCTTGGCTGAAGATAGATTTATGTTCATTTTGAACCATTTAAGTATGGTATTTTGTCCATAATGAAACTTATCTTAGTATGTGTTTTACTCTGTATGTCAACAATATGATTTTTACTAAATGCAAATAGTTCATTTTCTTCTTAAGATGCTTATATAAGTTTGAAGATGTCTTAATCAGAAATTTCTCAAGTCAGAAACTTCTGATTCTCTCGACTCTGAGAACATCAACCTCGAGCAATAAAATGTTTTTGAGAATAGGTTAAAAATGTTCATGATTTATTCCTATCTATGATTATTTAAAAAGGGTTATGATATTATTTTGTTGAAAATAAGAATTTTTTAAGCACAACATATTCTATCCCTAGTCAAGTTTGTCATCTTGTCGTTATTTTCAAGGACATTCGTCTTGGAAATGATGGTGGAGTCTTCTCCCCTGCCTTCTGGATAAGACATTAAATGCTTTGCGAGTCTCAAGTTTGATTTCTCTTCTAAGTAATTTAACTTTATCATTTTTTACATCTATTTCTTTCTTATTTATTTCCCCTGTCTTCTCGTTTGTTTCTTCATTCCTTCAGTATCTCTTCATCAATTATGTTCATTCCATTGTCTTGTTAAAATGTCCTCCAAAACCTTCCATGGAAATGGATATATTTTTGAAGTCATAAATGAGAAACGTCCCAACATCATGATTGATGATCATAACTTCAACATGTGCATTTACAATCAAGATTGGCTTGGCTATGTTGCAATGTTGCAAGGTCCTATCTATCCAAACCTTGTGAAACTTTTCTGGATATACGCCTCTGTAAGAAGTTATGGTAGCTGCATCAGATCAAGTATTAATGTCATTCCCTTTCTCATCACTTTTTCTCCATTACCGAGGCGATTGGGTGTGTTCCTCAAGCTCTCTCCATGGATCATGAAAATTTCATATTCATGTATGTTGATATACTCCCAACCATTCATGATACTTCTTCTGGTTATGAACCTAAAAATCCAGATAAGCTTAAACCCCTTGCTAAAGTTTGGTTCCGATTTCTGTTAACCAACTTTCATCTAAGAGGTTAAGATTTGGATTTCATGCTTCATCGCGACAAACTCCTCATTTTCTGTCTTCTTAATCATGTTCTAGTCAATCTGCCTGCAATCATTTTCAACCTCATAAAGGAATCAGCCTTGGACTCCAGACATCTTCAAAAGTCATTCATACCGTTTGGGTGAGTGTTGTCTGAACTGTTTGTTAAAGTTGAGATTGTTAGAATAGTTCGGCGGGCTCAGTTTCGTCCAGAAAATGTTCTCTTTGATGAGAGTTGTGATTTCTTTGAAGTTTAAGTGGTTTAGTTGAGTGTCTTTTTATTTTAATTTCTCTTGTAATCATTCGAACATTTTTAATGAGAAGCATCATTGTTTTTAATCCTCTTGTTTCTAGTGTGCTTAATATTCCTTATTATCAATGAATTATCTTGAATCTTTTTAATTATGACAAAAAGGGGGAGAAAAATAATGATGATTTTGATGCATACCTAATTCTCTAAATTTCATTGCTTACATTTCTAAAAAATTATATGTTAGACGTTTGCGCGTATCTAGAGGGGGGTGAATATAGGCGCAAAATAATTCTAGTCACAAATCTAGAATTTAAATTGTTTTCAAAACTTTTTAATGCGCAAGAAAATCACTGGATAGTCATCAAAAACATAACTTATTGGAAACTCGGATATACAAATTGTTAATGTTAAATCTATGAAACAAAATTGAATAATCGATTGACACAAAATCAGTTCAACTCCACTTAGTTATTGTTTGAACACAATCACTTTGAAATGCTATTTCCAAGGCTAAATAATCAAATAACTAACTTGATCGTTTTATCAAACACTTGGCGTGCAAGTGAATTTTTAGAATTTTTTCCTTGAATGGTGTTGATATACAAAACTACTTAGGAGAATTCTTATATGCAAAATTGTTTAATATAAAAGTAAGAGTGAGAACAACTATACAAAATTCTCCAATTTGGTGTTGATGCTCGTTCTTCCAACCTTTGATCTTAAGCAAGATCAAATCAACCGATAGATGCAACTTATTCGCCGCTTAATTTACTTCCTTGAAAAGATTTCAAACACTCCAAGGTTCCTTGCAAAGATTTCAAACACTCCAAGGGATCTTTCACTCGAGTAAATCCGATTACACACTATCAACACAAGATCACCGATTCTGTCATCCAATTCTCGCTACTTCCTTAAAAATATTTCAAACACTCTAAGGTTCCTTGAAAAGATTTCAAACACTCCAAGGTATTTTTCACATGGACGATTCCTTCTCGCACGATCTTGCACAAAAACCCCCAATTCAACAAATTATTTTGGAGAAGAAACTCGATGGTTTTTCTCGGATGAAGGCCCCTATAAATCTAAACTCAAACCAATTGGAAATCCAAAATTCTTCGTATAGATGGCACCCCGATGAAATATCATCACAATATAATGTTGGTGTGTATGCATAGATTGGTAGGTTGAGGAAGAAGAAGAAATGTAGTATAATTTTATGGTATCATCAAGTTCAGAATGATGCATGAGAGGGTATTTATAGTTTCGAAATGTTTATGGAAAAAAGGACAAATTCAGAATAAAAGGAATTGGAAATATGAAAAAAAATAGATTTTATGTGTCAACCTCAAATTCGTATGCGTCGACACATATGTTATAAAAAGAATGCATGTGTCGACCTGAAGGATTTTATGTGTCGACCTAAGCAAGTCAGAAGCTACAGGCTTTAAAATGTGAGTAAATGTGTCGACCTGAAATATGGATGTGTCAACACATAAAATAAGAATTTCTATAATTTTAGAAAGCTTTTAGTATGTGTTGACCTAAAGGTTATATGTGTCGACTTGTTACTTACAGAAGCGTACAGGCTTAAAAACTGAGTTACATGTGTAGCAATTGGTTTTTAAATCAGAGTCGCCACTATTAGTTTTTATCCTAAGGAAGGGAATCTAACAAAAAACCCTAATTTGCAGACAGAGATTCTAGGTTTCGGACTCTATTAGACGAAAGGAAGGTGTTAGGCACCTTTCATCTACCTTGTTCACAAGGATACTAGGTTTAGGTTTGGGTAAAACTGGGTTTTAAATTTTAATAGGGGAAAGGGTTTAAATTTTTAATAGGGAAACTTGCCACGATTTTAATTGTATGCCTACGTATCCTCTTATGAGGAATCAGAGTCCCAATTCGTAGTTCGTATGAGGTTGTGTTTTTTAGGTGTTGCAAATGTATTTTGAATCGCCTCGCATTTTGACCGGTTGTAGAGATTAAGGAGATTTTGGCTAAATGCACGATTAGTCAAAATCCGTTTGAAACCCTTTTGCAAAAACAGTTGATTAGCTTAGTTGATTGCGAAAGATAGTTTGAGATTGATTAGTATTTTTTAATCGTATTGATTGAAAAATATCTTATTAATGCATGATTAAAAAATATTTAATGCAAATAATATAAGAAAATAATATATGCATTCTTGAATAAAAACAATTTATTATATATGATAAATAAATAATAAATAAAATATAATAATAATAATATAACAATTTATAATAATAATAATAATTATAGATTGAATAATAATAATTATGAAAATATAATATAATAATAATAAGAAGAAGAAGAAAATAGAATTAAAATATAATCATTATAAAAAAAATGTAAAAAAATGAAGAATTACCAGGGGTGGTTTTATAGTAAGCAAGTAAAAGAGGGGGTGATAATAGCATTGGTAAGGTGGGCCCAAATATATTTGACGGGGGGTACGAATTACTTTGGTGTTTAGGGATTATGGAGAATGGGGTTGCAGAAAGTGTTGGGCTCAGGCCCACTACGTTTGGGAGAGGAGTCCGCCTAATTGTGTGGGTGAGGGAGTACGTTAGTTATCATGGAGACTTGGCCTATGGCCATCAGAACGAGAGCGAATGGATAATACTGAGGGAATATGTGAGTTAGGATAGGCTAGCGCGTACGGGATTGAAACGGATTACATTATTTTGTTTTAACACATTTTACATTCATTTCCCTGTTTTTGTTTTTACAGTCACCCTTTATCCTTCTCTCTCTCGCGACCCTCAAACCCTACCCGCATACACCCTTCACGGTGGCACTGTCTTGATGAAACCCCTTCACTATAAACACCTAACAAACCCCCCAAATACAAGAACAATTAACACATAGAGCTAAGGTATTTTTAGTTACCCCTTTCGCTATTTCAACTTCTGAACTTCCGAGCCTCTTACGATTCGCTAATCTCTCTCTGTCTTCTTCGATTTACAGGTTCTATGAACGGTGGTGAAGGAAGATTGATGACGATGGTGATGCAACGATGATTAGGGTTTCATATGTTGAAATCCTAATCGTCCTCCTATATTCTTCTTCTTCAACAGCGAGTGAGGTCTTTGTGCTTCTCTTTCACTGTATATCTTCGAGCCCTTCTGTTCTTCAATTTTTTTTTTGTTCTTCCAATTATTTTTCCTCCCCCCTCCCTTCTGTATTTAATTCCCCTATATTTATAGTGGTTTTTTATTTAGGGTTAGCTTAATTTTTTGGTAGAATTTGCATAAATTTAGGAAGATTAGGGATTTGGGATCGTTGTTGATTGATTCTGAAAATATTTGATTTGGTTCTATATTCTTGTAATGGGTTTTATTTACTGTAATTGATTTTAATTTTAATTTATGGATTTGGATTGATATATTGATATGGATTGAATTATGATTTAGTTTGTATTGATTTCTACAGTTGTTGTTTTTTTGGATAAAAACAAGCATGATTTTAGGAGTGATTGAAACAGTGGCTGTTATTGTTTTTGGGTCAGCGTTATTTCTTTACAGTCCAGCCTGCATAAACGAAATTGGGCCTTTTTCCCAGACCAGCATACTTACTATTTTTTTTCTTTATTTACAACAACATTATCCCTTTTTGATACGGTACTGGGCCTACTGGCTTTCCAACATATCCGTTTTTTCTAAAAATCTTAATAGAAATAAAGGTTTTTTTGAACTAAGACAGTAAATAAAAAAAACGTCCAATGGGCTTGGCTTAAAGAAATTCAATGGGCTTTATATTTAATCCATAGTTTATATATCATTAAACAATGTTTTAATAATAATTTACAATAAAACAGTAATAACAAAACTGACTAATTACTTAATGAGCCTGTAATTGTAACCACACCCTCCTCTTGCTATTTGCCAATATGAAATGGAAATGGGCCAACATGAACCATTCTTAAATGGATTAACAAATTAAAGACCTAATAATTATTATTCTTTTGAAATAATTTTCATTTTTGAATCGCATGGGCCATTGACCAACATGCTCCGCAAAGGAGTTTATGAGTCTTTCTGATTTAAAAAACCCCACTCTCCTGGGTTGAAATACACCCCCTAGTCTTAGATAAAGACGGGCCATCAGATATTGCTGTACCATCTTTAATTAAAAATTATTTCTATTTTAAAACTTGAAAATATAAAATCATTGAGGTAGGGCAAATTTGGGGTACGACAACATGTGTCGACCTGAAAATCGAATGTGTCGACACATGCAATGCAAAAACATGCAGAAACTATTTTTCAATGTGTTAGGTCAATTTCAAAGTACTTTTTGATGATTCCTAAGACTTATAATATAGAGGAGTGCCACAAGACATAGAGATACCATCCGTTTTACCGACGTACCATCTTTCCCGATTTTCACATCATGCAAAATACCTTGTATTGAAGTTGTACTCACAAACTCCCCCTTTTTGATGATGGAAAAAATTCCGATGATGCATTTCTTATAACTTTCAAAGGCTCCCCATGTCTTTGTGCTTCCTATCTTCATCTCGCATATGCTTCTCCCCGTTTGACACCATCAAAAAGAAGAAAGCAAACAATTAGAAGTACCAAAGTTTCCAAAGCAATTAACAAATATCAATCAGAGGCAAATTTTGCACATAAGAGAAACAATTACATATCCCCATATATATTCAATGATGTAAACTTTTAAATAACGGGCAGCAGACATCACAACAAATGTAATGGTATGCAAAAGCAATGAGAGATAGTTGGAGCATCACGATCATGTAACACTTTATAATTGAACTCCTGATGTCGCACAAACATGTGTCAACCATAACGAGAACACAATATCGCTACTAACACTAAAATGAAGATATATATCATGTAAAGTAGCTATGACAACATGAACCACATATTGCAACATAAGATAAGGGAAATAACCACAACACATGCTTTCATATTAAGAATAAATCTATACAAATGTGAATGAATTAATACATGAAGTCATTGTAAATATATAGATTAAGAACACACAATGGTTATTAATAGTAAAATTTTGGAAATAAACATTCATGGTTTTCATCATTTGAAAGTATATGAAGCGTTTTTGGAAGAAGCCTAGAAATATGCATTAAGGCAAAACTTATGTTCAAGGAGAAATTGAAACAACACTACCATACTCTTGAAGAATTGGAAGTTGCACTCACAAAATATAACACACTCAAACAAATAGTTAGAGAGAATACTTAAAGTGAAAGTAACGAGATATAACTAGGCAACATTTGAGATATCAATTATCCCCAATTCTCCATGTATGTTGATAAAGGATTTGGTTGTGAATGGTTTAATGAAAATATCGGCAAGTTGATTTATACTATCAACATGCTCAAACACAACATCTCTTTTTTCAACATGATCACGAAGAAAGTGGTGATGTGTCTCAATGTGTTTAGTCCTTGAATGTAGCACCAGATTTTTGGTTATATTTATGGTACTAGTGTTGTCGCACATGATAGAAATACGTGATAGTTTAATATCAAAGTCCAACAATTGTTGTTTGAGCCACAAAATTTGAGCACAACAACTACCGGCTACCATATATTCCGCCTCGACATTTGACAAAGTCACGAAAACTTGCTTTTTACTATGCCAACTTACCAAGGATTTTGCAAACAAGTGACAAGTTCCACTAGTACTTTTCTATCCAATTTTCAACTGGCAAAGTCGGAATTGAAATAACCAACCAAATTACAATTGTTTCCTTTGGAGTACCAAAGCCCGCATTTTAAGGTACCAATGAGGTATCTAAAAATTTGTTTAACGGATTTTAGATGAGATTCCTTGGGAACCACTTGATATCGTTCACACATACAAATACTAAACATAATATCAGGATGAGATGTTGTAAGATAGAGAAGAGAACCAATTATACCTTTATACCTTTTTACCTCAACATCCTTACCTTTCTCATCCTTGTCTAAGTTACCGTTTGTTGCCATGGGAGTGTTAGTTTCCTTAGCACTATCCATTTTGAATCTCTGAAGTAATTCGAGACAATACTTGATTTGACATACAAACGTTCCTTCATTGAGTTATTTAATTTGTAGCCCGAGAAACTAATCCAACTCTCCTATTAGGCCCATTTCAAACTCTTCCTGCATAAGCTTAGAGAACTCCTTGGCAAGAGGCATATTAGTAGATCCAAAAATGATATCATCTACATAAATTTGAACTAATAAAAATATGTTTTCTTTGACGCTTAATAAAGAGAGTAGTGTCAACTTTTCCTCTAGAGTATCCTTGTTCAAGCAAAAATTTACTAAGTGTATCATACCATGCCCTAAGAGCTTATTTAAGACCGTACAATGCACGTTTAAGCTTGAAAACATGATTAGGAAACTCATCATTTTCAAAACGAGAGATTGAGAAACATACACATCTTCACTTATGTATCCGTTAAGGAACACACTTTTTACGTCCATTAGAAAGAATTTGAAGTTCTTAGAGCAAGCATAAGCTAATAAAAGGCGTATAGCCTCAAGTCAGGCCAATAAAGCATAAGTTTCCTCATAGTCAATACCATCCTCTTGGTTATACCCTTGAGCCACAAGACGGGTCTTATTTCTTGTTATCACACCATGTTCGTCAAGCTTATTCCTAAATACTCATCGGGTGCCTATGATTTGAAGATTTGAAGGACGAGGGACAAGATTCCAAATGCCACTTCTTTTAAATTGGTTTAATTATTCTTGCATGGCAATAAGTCAATGCTCATCAAGTAAGACATCGTTAGTGTTTTTAGGTTCAACTTGTGATACATAAGCATGATGACAACAAAGACTACTTATTTTAGAGCGAGTTATTACTCCCTTTTTGATACCACCTCTAATGTTGTCAAGGAGATGATCTTTGGAGGTTATCCACTCCAAAGGAAGATCATCATTTTCTTTTAGACATTCATCATCTTTCTTTTCTTGGGTGCTATCTCCATCCTCCTCAATCTCCATCAATTTAGGTTGATCAACTCCTTCACCGGTGTCTTTGAGTATGTCTTTCGTGGATGCACCTACACCATAAAAAGAACTATCTTTCCCAACACTATTTGGGAAAGTCTCATCAAAAGTAACATGAACGAACTCTTCAACAATAAGTAATCTCTTGTTATAAACTCTATATATTTTACTAGATTGAGAGTATCCAAGAAAAATACATTCATCGGCTTTCGCATCAAATTAGTACAAGAAGACAAAAGAGACAAGGAATTAGGTAAGTCGTGCTAAAGATTCTTATTTCCAACGAAAGATTATCTTGACATTTCCTTATATAAAAACACACAGGAGTAAAGCATGAAGATTTTTCACCTATTCTTAAAAACATCTCATTGCTCGAGATTGATGTTCTCAGAGTCAAGAAAATCGAATAGTTGAGATAAACTTCCCATCTTAGACTCTGGTTATTACTGAATGTGAAAAGACTTTCATTCGTTACGACATTCTTTCGTTATACTAATGAACGTTACAATCTCTATTCAATCGCGTCTCTCTATTTATGGAGATAAAAGTTACAAATATCAATCCTTGTCAATAAAAAAAAATGAAAAAAGAGAAACAAAAGCTGTACATAAATTGGACACCAATGAATAAGGAAGCTCATAGGAACGTATAAAAACCTTTATCCAGATAATCAATCATCCTTACCAAAAATTTAGACTTATTAAATATTTGCGATACTTCTTGACCAACATCAAGAGAATTTCAATTGATATTTTTCAAAAGAACAGTACCAAAATAAAATACATACAAATGTACAAAAAGACATAATAAACAATTCTAAGAGAACGAAGGAAAAAGTGTATAGTTGTCTTTAGTGAATGTGGGGTTGGAGAGAATTGTATCTCATGCCCTTTCATCATAAACCAATCCTTCACCACTTGTACAATTCATTTGTACAATTGTACCCGTATTTAATTCAAATTCAAATAAACATAAACATAAATCCTTCGGTTCGCAATTTTCCTTAATTTTCTCATCATTTCATTGTCCACACCAAACGCGTGACCAAGAAACAAACAAAATGGTGGGAGTCACACGAATAAATCCAACAATGCCAAAACAAATCATTCACAATTTAAGGTTGCATTCAATAAACAAACAAAACTTTGTCAACATTTTTCTATACTCGTAGGTACCATTTCGTACATCAGAAAAATTGTAGAACCTCACATAAACCAAAATTTGGTGACCCCAATTTTTTTTCTTTTCTTTTTGTTCTTGAGTAAAATAAATTAAAGGAAATTAAAAAAAAATAAAATAAAAAATAAAAAAAGTAAAATAGTTGAAGTTGCTAAGCTGGATTTAGCTGGAGGACCTACTCCATCAAGAATCGCTTCACAATCTTCACGCTTGGTTCCAACACTTGTTTTTTCCATATACCGGAATATCCCTCTCCGCCGTCACCGCCGTGAGAATCTGATGTCAGCACCGCCCTAAACGCCTCCGTGGCATCGAGTCTCCGTAGGTCCCACCCAGCCCGTTTTAACCGTAGGATCTTCCCTATCTGTCTCTTGGCTAGCTGACACGTGTTATCTTTAATCGCCTTCACTGCTTCCTCGTATGCACCTTCTCGCATAGGATTATGAACTTCGTCTTCAATGAGTGGTTCACCTGGTGGATATTGGATAAAAAACCGGTCGAACTCGGGTACTCCGATTGCTTTTCTCAAACCGGTTCGGTTATCCGGGTTATCCGAACCGGGTTTATAAAACTCAGCCAACTCGTCCACCATTCCCGAGTCAAACATGTCGTCGACTCGTTTCAGCAAATATTCGGATAATACAGGAAATGATATATCCATCCAGAGAAAACAACATTTGTACCTTAAATCCGAGGATATTGTTTTTGATGATGATGAAGAAGATGAAGAGTCTTCATCGAAGATGTTTGACTCAGGGTTGAATCGTTCTACAAGGAGAGCGTGAATGAATGAGTTGGACCCTCCGACGATAATGGGGAGCTTCCTCCGGGAAATTATATCGGAGATTATATCTCCGGCGTGGCGGCGGAAATCTGAAGGGGAGAACTCTCCGTGGGAGGGATCGATATCGCCGATGAGATGATGTGGGATGTTGTTGCGTTGATGAAATGGGATCTTGTTGGTGGTGATGTCGAGTCCTTTGTAGACTTGGATTTTATCGGAGTTGATTATTTCGAAGCAGGGGAAGAGGTTGGCAAGTTCTACTGAAAGGCGGGATTTTCCGGAGCCGGTGGCGCCCATGATGACAAGGACTTTGTCTTTCCGGCGGTGGCGGGAGGAGGCGATTTCCATGCGAGGCCAGTGGGGCCTGGTGCGGGTGGTGGTGGTGGTGGTGGAGGAGGAGGGAGTGTAGAGGGTGTATGAAGAGTGGTGAAATTTAATGGGTTGGTGATAATAATAGCATTGAGGGTTTGGTGAGAGAAATGAAGGTGTTGTTGTAGGCATAGAAAGTTTGTGTGTGAGTGTAGAGAGAGAGGGAGAGAGAGAGAGAGAGGCAGAAAGTGCGTGCGTGAGTTTGGGTGTATAGTACAGAATACAGATAGTGTGGTTATCCGTTAACACTGGGCTGGCAGTGAGAGTGAGTGGGTGGTGAAATGGGTTTTGAAGAGGAGGAAGTTATGTTATGGCATTGCCAGCTAAGTTATTACAATTAAGCAGTTTCATAGATATAAGTGCTTTTGTGCTGATTCTGGTTCTTCATTACCTGTTCCATGGTGTTGCTGTTATGAATGAATGAGTTTACTAGAACTAGTATTGATATATTGTTTTTTGTGGTGTTGGAAATGGGAGAAGGGAATGAGAATGGCATTGTGATTGTGATTTGGGTTTGAAGAGTTTGCATTTACTATGTGACAGAGTTTTAGCTTGAATTGGGTATCATGACTCTGCTTTGCTATCACTCTGTTTCTTTCCGTTTTACTCAAATGAAATGGGTTTGTGAGAGCAGATAGGTTTATATATAGATATTCTCATAAGCACCTCTTTATGTGTGTGTGTCTACATCATATTTCATTCAATCAAATATACTAGTATAATCTTTGTATGTCCTTTTCTAGCTCTTGTACTCGTTTTAATTATTTCAAATATTTTAAATAAATTATATATTAAATTGTGTTATTATAATGAGCATTATTATTATTACTATTTTATTTTGAAATACTTATGAATAGTAAATATTCACTACATATAAAAATTTCATAAACAACACACTAATATGTATTATTTCATTAGTAAATAATTAGAATCTAATATTATAAATATCAGATCTTAAATATATCTATCTCTCTATTTTCTTAGTTTTGTTTCAAATATTTTCTTTATCTCAACACATTATCTGTGTGATCGTTTTTATCAGAAATTTTTACACATTTGATATATTTTATACTTATTACTTTAATCATATTAGTATTGTTATTATTATTATTATTATTTGTCCAGGTTATAGAAAACTGACAACCAATCAAGTGATTTATAACTAGAGTGGTTATTACTGTTATTATTATTATTTGTCTCAGTTACAGAAAACTATCAACTAGTGAAGTGATTTATAACTAGAGTGACTATTACTGTTATTATTATTATTTGTCCCGATTATAGAAAACTGATAACCAATCAAGTGATTTATAACTAGAGTGACTATTACTATTATTATTATTATTTGTCTCCGTTTATAGAAAATATGCAATCAGTCAAGTGATTTATAACTAGAGTGACTATTACTGTTATTATTATTATTTGTCTTCCGGTTATAGAAAACTGGCAACTAGTCAAGTGATTTATAACTAGAGTTGCTATTACTGTTATTATTATTATCTGTTCCGGTTATAGAAAACTGTCAACCAGTCAAGTGATTTATAATTAGAGTGACTATTACTATTATTATTATTATTTATCTCGGTTATAGAAAACTGACAACCAATCAAGTAATTTATAACTAGAGTGAGTATTATTGTTATTATTACTTTACTTCTTGTTATAAAAAACTTTGTCAAGTGCTCTATAATAAGTAAAGTTATTCTTATTATATATTTTTGTGTGAATGTTTAAAATTCCATATGATGTTACTAAATTTTATATTTAGTGGAGGTTTAAAATCGCATGTTGTTACTAGCTTTTATATTCAACGGAGGTCTAAAACCTCATATGTATATTCTAATATTTATCATATGTGTTCTTTTGTTTTATATGTTATTTGATAATTATCTCCGACACTTATAACGATTATATAATTATTTTTTTACACATTTAAATTTTGGCTAGATAATATTTTTTCTTCACACTTAACATTTTCCCCTTTTCTTTTTCCTTTTCCCAAAAATAATATAACGGCCATTTTTTCAAAAAATTACCTCTATAAATATTTCAACTTCTTCCATAATTTTCATATCATTCTCCAAATTTCTACCCATATTTTTCAAATGGCTAAAATTATTATTTTGTTCATCACTCTACTTCTAATTATTTTGTTTATTATCAGTATTATCAAACATGAAGAATTAGGTAATAATTTTGTAGCTTTGATAATAATTATCGCCATACCATTAATAGTCTTAACTTGGTTTATCACTAGAGGTTTTTGAATAATTTGTAGTAATGAATTTTGTAATGGAATAAATTTTTTTTATTTTTTTATTTTTTAGTTTATGCATTTAATATTGTTTATGTTCATCTGAATTATAGATATAATCATGTCAAATCTTAAGCATTAATTCAAAATTTTAAGCATAACTGGGGACAACTTCATAACCTAGAACAACAATTTAATTGAATACCTTACATGTGAGAGACTTAACAAAATACTTGAAGAAGACAATTTTGGAAAATTGACAGACAACCCAGATGAAATGGAAAAGAGAAAGTCAAAAGTGAACAAAATAATCAAACACCATCTTGATGATGGATTGCAAACCGAATATTCAAATGCTAAAGATCCCAAGATTTTGTGGGACAAAATTAAAGCAAGATTTGGACATCAGAAGAAAGTCTTATTACCCTCATTAATGGATCAGTGGAATAAATTGAGGTTCCAAGATTACAAAAGTGTCGTTGCATATAACTCTGCTATGCACCAGCTTATAGCACAACTAGAATTTTGTGGCAAAATTATAATTGAAAAAGAAAAATTGGGAAAAACTTTTTCAACTTTCCATGCATCCCAAGTATTGTTGCAACAACAATATAGAATGAGGGAATTCGCTGAGTATTCTGATTTAGTTGCAGTCCTTCTAGTGGAAGAACAAAATAACGAGCTCCTTATAAAAAACCACCAAACACGACCCACAGGAACACTTGCATATCCTGAAATAAATGTCACAACCTTTAATTGTGGGCGTGGTGGCTTTAATCGTATTAAGAGACGTGGTGGACATGCTCATTTTGATGGTAATAAAGGTCGTGCTCGTTTTGATGGCCACAGTCAAGAAAGATACCATGGCCAAAACCTTTTCCACAATCGAAATCATTTTCGTGGTAGAGGACGTGGACAAGGCCAGATGAAAATTCTAGAACTCCCCGATATGACCAAAATAATTGAAATCTCCAAGGAAATGGCTGGTATATCTAAGAAGGTCCCTCGAGAAATTATGAAGATGTATGCTACAGATGTTGAAAGAAAAGGCCACTGGTCTAAGGTGTGTAAAACACCAGAACATTTGTGTAAAAGACAAATGATATCTGTAGAGGAAAAGGGGAAAGAAGTGAATTTTAATGAAATTGAACTCAAAGATGATAATACCTATTTTGAGACTGTTGATTTCGTTGAAGGACCAATAAATTAAATAACTATTTGAATAATGAGTGACATGCTTGTACTAATTTTATATTTGGACTACATATCGTCTTAGAAATTTGTATGTGTATCTTATGTTTGCATAATATAATAATGTTAAATATGTTGTTGAATTACTCTCGATTTAGTCTTATTTCTATTTCAAAAGGGTTAGACATTGAACATGTCGAAGACATTTTCATTCTGGATAGTGGAACTACACATACAATCCTCAAAAGTAAGAGATATTTTACTAAAATAAATTCTACTAAAGGTGTAATAAATACAATCGCATGTCCTGCAGATTTGATGGAAGGAACAGGTAATGCTACGTTCATATTACCAAATGGAACAAAGTTTGTCATTAATAATGCTTTATACTCTCCAAAATCAAAAAGAAATTTGTTGAGTTTTAATGACATATATCTTCAAGGATATGATATCGAAACTGCAACTAAAGGTAACATGAAATACATTAATATCACTGCTAATGTTTTGGGAAAGAAGAAAAATTTAGAAAAACTACTAAAATTGCCTTATGGATTACATTACACATGAAACTGAATGCAATTTAGTAGTCAAAGAAGATCCCAAAATTGTGAATTTATGCCATGACCGTTTAGGTCACCCTGGTTCAACAATGATGCGTAAAATAGTTGAAAGTACACATGATCATCTATTGAAAAGTTTAAAACTTACAAAAGAAGATAGACCATGTGAAGCTTGCTCTCTTGGAAAACTAATAACAAAGCATTCACCAGGAAAGATTCAGACAAAATTACCTACATTTCTTGAAAGAATTCAAGGTGATATATGTGGACCTATTCATCCACCGTTAGGACCATTCCGGTGCTTTATGTAGATGGTCATATGTATGTTTATCGTCAAGTCGTGATATGGCTTTTGGAAAATTTCTTGCACAAATAATTAAACTAAGAGCTCAATTCCTTGATTATACCATAAAGAAAATCAGACTTGACAATGCTAGTGAATTTACATCTGAATCATTTAATAATTATTGCATGTCAATCAGAATTGTTGTGAACATCTTGTTCCTCATGTGCATACACAAAATGGTTTAGCTGAGTCATTAATTAAACGTCTTCAATATATTACTAGACCATTGATAATGAGAACCAAACTACCAGTTACTGTTTGGGGTCATGCAATTTTACATGCTGCAACACTCATACGTTTAAGGCCAAGTGTTGATCATAAACATACCCCTTATCAACTTGCAATTGGTAAGGAACCTAATATTTCACATTTAAAGATTTTTGGTTGTGCAGTATATGTCTCAATAGCTCCACCACAAAGAACAAAGATGGAACCTCAAAGGAGATTGGGAATATACGTCAGATATGAATCACCATCTATTATTAGATATCTTGAATCTTTAACGGGTGATGTTTTTCAGGCAAGATTTCCTAATTGTTATTTTAATGAAACAAAATTTCCAACATTAGGGGGAGAAAACAAACAATCAGAAAATGAAATATCATGGTATGCACCACATTTATTACAT